AATTCAGATATGGAGCTTTAATAAGTTGTATTTACGCACAATCTACTTGTAATCTTGAGTTTTAAGTAATATATATTAATAAACAGTACTTTACGCATAAAAAGTAGTTTTTAAGAGTTTTTGTCAAATGCTTTATAATATAGTATAGATTATTTTTTTATAATTTAATCTACACACAATTACTTGTAATCTTGAGTTTTAAGTAATATGCATTAATAAACAGTACTTTACGCATAAAAAGTGATATTTAAGAGTTTTTGTCAAATGGTTTATAATATAGATTATTTTTTTTATATATAATTTAATTTAAGTTTAATAATAAAACAATTTATTTTTGGTTTAATATTATAAATTTTATAAAGATAATAATTAAGTATTCTGTTAGAACTCAATGATTATACTAATTATATTTCAGATTTTTTATATTTAAAATGAGATGTTTATCATGTATTTGATTGTGTTTATCTGTAGTTAGTTACACGAATTCAGATATGGGATGAAAGCGGATAGGGCTGAAATCGGATAAGGATGAACGGKTTTAARAGTTTTAAGAGTTTTAGCCAAATGTTTTATAAGATAGTATAGATATTTGAAAAATACATATAATATATTAAAAATATTTTTGTTTTTTAATTCATTGCTATATGAAGTTCTCTTAAATTATGTGTTGTGTGTGAGCTTGATTTATATAGACTTATAATATGTGTGAGTGGATGGTTACCAATATTTGGTAGGAAAGTTTTGGTTTGTCATCGATCAATTACCATCAAAGGTTGAAAAAAGAAATACAATAGAGACATGACCAATTAAAAAGAAAAAAAAGAAAAAAAAAAGTCGGTTAATTTGTCAACGTAACAAGATTCAAAGCTTCGATGACGTTAATGATTTTAAAACATTAATCTTTGTATCCAATAACGTCTTCTAGAGGACTAATGGGTCCTTGTGAGATATTTTATGATAAGAATGTTTAACTTCAATCGTTATATGTGTTATCTAATAGTTAAAACTAAGTCTAATGATAATAAACCTGTATTTGTATTTGGTATATAAGATACCATATCTGATTTATATTGTAGATTAAAAACTCTGATTTTGTCCTGTGAATTATCAAACATTCCTTAATGACCAACAAACAATTAAAAGTAGTCATATTTGGATGTAGTTTTTGTGGGTTGGAAAAACATCCCAACTGCAGGTAAAATCAACATAAACTTGCTCATATATATTATTTTTTGGTAACAAAGTACAACGATGTCTGGTTACATGATCGAACTGCCTCACTTTTAGTTGCCGCCGCCGCCTCCTCCTCTTCCATTGACCCTGAGTTCATCAACCTTATGTTTGGGATAACCATTATTTATCCACGGACCCCAACCACCAATCGTGCCATCAACATGATATCCTTTTTGGATTTCAACAACTGCATACGTACAACAAGTTTGATTATCTTTTAAAGCACATGTGTAGATATGGATGCAACGACAGATGTTTGGTGTGATGGATTTTGAAGTTCTATCAAACAACTTTCCTAAATCACCGATTCAATTTGATTGGGTCTTATTTGAAGATCTCATAGGCAATACAATTAATAAAATTTAATCGAAAAGACAAATATGTACATGTATTTATAGTTGTATGTTTCAAGGTACATATGCACATGTGAATAAGTGTGTTGTGTGTGTACACATATATTGAATACCTTTTGAATTATGAGTTTGAGCTGAAGGAATCTTTCGAGCCGAAGAAATCAGAACAAGTGCAAAGAGAAACAGCAATGATAAGTTAAAACAGTTGTACTTCATTTTTTTTCAATTCGTGTGTTGATGTATGGAGAAAAAGGTGGGTTTATATAGAGTGATATGTGTAGGTGGATGTCGACATTTGGACCAATTTGTCAATAAACGTCAAAGAAGAGAAGATAATAAGAAATAAAAAGCAAAATTAAAGACAATAATTAATAGTCATATTTAAATAATTAATGGGTTTTTGGGTGGACACGTGATGGGACTAATTCATGGGTCCCTACTCCCACGGGAACACTTTAGTTCTTATCCTCCATGCCTCGACTTGGGGTAGGGTGGTCATAAGTCATAACAAATATATAATTTTTGTTAATTTTATAGTTTTTATTTATATATCCTTTATTTCAAACATTCACCCATTCAGATCATGTATTTATAGTTTGAGTTAAAAAATTTAAAACCATTTTTAATACATTAAGTATTACTCGAAGGATACTTGCGTAATGCGACGAGATACATTTTAATTTTAATATTTCATTTTATTATTTATCTAAGACTCTTAGTTGATTTTATAGTATGGTCTTATGTGATTTTGAGAAAACGATGATATTTTTATTTTTGAATAAAATATAAATTTGAATATATCATAAAAATTTGACAAAAATATATCGATATTAGTATCAAATTAACTATTTAAAATTTCTCAATTTTTTGTGTAGTTTCTTAATTCAATTAATTTATTATAATTTAATTTAGGTACGATAATGAAGTAATTTATATTTGATTTAATAATATAATTTTATTATAAAGATAATAATTAATTATTTTGTTAGAACTCGATAATTATCCTAATTATATTTTAGAGTTTAAAAATGAGATGTTTATCCTCTATTTGATTATGTTTATCCGTAGTTAGTTATACGAATTCAAATATCGAGCTTTAATAAGTTGTATTTATGCATATTTTACTTGTAATTTTGAATTTTAAGTAATATGCATTAATATACAGTACTTTATGCATAAAAAAATGGTTTTTAAGAGTTTTTTGTCTAATGCTTTATAATATAGTATAGATTTAATATTTAAAATTCAATACTACAAGTAAATTTTATAAGAGTATAACTTTTTAAAGCTATATGTTTGAATTCATGTGACTAACTGATAAATATAATCAAATATGAGATAAACATACCATTTTAAATATAAAGAATAAGATTTTTGAATTATCATTAAGTTCTAACAAAATATTTAATTAGTGTATTTATAAAAAAATATTATATTATTAAACTTAAAATAAATTATATTGTTACTAAACCTAAATTAAATTAAAATTAAGATATTGAACTAAAAATTATCTTTATAAGAAAACATTATATTATTTCGTCATCAAACCTCAATTAAATTAAAACAAAAAATTTAACTAAAAAACTATATAAAAAATTAATTTGATATTAATACTAATATATATTCTTTTTGAAATTTTATGTGGTCTTTACATTTATATTTTATTCAAATATAAAAACATTAACTTTTTCTTAAAATTATGCAAAACTGTATTATAAAATCGACAGAGATGAACAATATCTATTATGCGAATATACTTCTAGTATTTATCCACGAATATTCATTATACAAACTTAGGTCATTTAAATAGTTAATATTTACATTGTAGGGCCGTGCAAGAAATTTAAAAAAAAAAGGTCCAAGACACCCATCAAATCACCTTTTATTAGGATTTAAATTAGGTTACATCGAGTTATCCAGTTCAACCAACCCGTCGATATATATAATTATATACACTATAATGTATATATGTGATCACAAATCTTATTTAGATGTGGTTTAGATTTCTTAGAAAAACACCCCAAGTACACGTAACTAAAATCAACATAAACTTATTCATATTTATTATTCTTTGCAAAGCAGTACGACAATGTCAAGTTACGTGATCATATTGCCTCATTTTTAGTTGCCTCCTCCTCTTCCATCGACCCCAACACCGTTGTTATCACCGGGATTATGATTAAACCATGGACCCCAACCACCAATCGTGCCGTCAACATGGTATCCTTTCTGGGCTTCAGCAACTACACATGTACAATAAATTTGAGTATTTTTTAAAGTCCGTTTGTGTAATAATGGTGTAAACGATTCACTTAATTTGATTTTAAGATTCTATTAAACTAAAAACCAAACAACTGGACACTAAAACCAAGCCTAATTGATCGAATTTAATTCACTTTTATTTCATGATTTGATAAATAATAAGATTTTTTTTTTAACATTATAAATTGATCGAGGATAAAACATGAAATACATGCGTAAAAACTTGTATGGTTGTACATACGAGTATGCAAAGGTGTCTGGATGCATGAGTTTTGGTCAATGATAACACGTAAAAATTATCATAATATAGAATTAAATAAAAACTAATTATAAAATAAAATAAAATTTATACATCAAGGAGAAACAACTTTCATTTAATTTATGCTCTAAAAAATTTACTTTTGAAAGACATATTTTACGAGTATATACATGATGATATTTTTCAAAGAAATCTTTCCATCTACAAATTAATATTAAAAAATTAATTATAAAATATAAAGAGTTAGTGGCAAATATACACAAATTAAGGGCCGTTTACCAAACGCTTACTCGGGTAAGCGCTTACCAAGTCATATTATCTTATCGGATGAATATGATAAGTACCAAAAATCTTACCTGGTAAGAGCAAGACAAGGACCAAGAGTCTTACCCGGTAAGTGAGGACGGTGACTCTTACCATGGTAAACACTTACCTGGTAAATTGTTGCATGCGATGTCTTTTTGGTGAACTAAAATCTTACCCAGTAAATATATAATAGTGTTAAATTTTATTGGTAAACACTTACCGGGTAGGTATTTGGTAAACGACCCCTAAATCTAAAGAATTAGCTCTAGATTAGAACATGATATTTTGTTAATAATAATATAAACAAATGAACATGATGACATTGATATAAACAAATTAACACTAAAAACTTGCACGAAATATAATCAAATTAGCACTAAATATAAAGTAACCTCAAAATTCGAATATTAAGAGAAAAAAAAATACAAAATTACCATTAATATTAATATTAACCGAAATTAGTATCAATTGACATTAATCTAATATTCTCTTTGAAGAGTTAGGGTTACTAATGAATCCCTTTGAAGAGTTAGTTAAGCGGTTAGAAAAATTTACACTATATAGCATTAAGTTAGTCGTTTCACGGGAATCCACTAACCAAAGGTTAGTTCCGCTCCTATAATTGTCAGTGTGTATAAGCAAATATATAATACCTTTTGGATTATGAATTTGAGGTGAAGAAATTTTTCGAGCGGAAGAGATAAGAACACATGCAAAAAGAAACACTAACAAAACACCAAAACCGTTGGACTTCATTTCTTAACTTGTGTTTATGTTGAGTGTCAACTTGATTTATATAGACTATGCCATGTAAGCGGATGTCGACATTCGGTATGGAATTTGAGTCTCTCATTGACCAATTACAACCGATACAAAGTTAAAAATAAAATTTAAAACTTTAATGATCATAATAGTTTTAAAAGCATTAATCTATTTATCCAAGAATGGTTTTCTTGGTGGGCATGTGATGGGGTTTATGGGTATATTATTTCGTTACTAAACGTTGATTATATTACTTACCTTTCAGATGAACATGATAAATACCTAAAAATCTTATTCGATAAGAGAAAGAACCAAAACAAAGAATCTTATCCAGTAAAGTGAGGGGAAGACTCTTACATGTTAAGTGTTTGTCAGGTAAAAAAAACTTACCAACGATCAATTTTTGATAGTCGAGAATCTTACCCGATAACGTAAGTGATGATGACTCTTACAATTACAAGTAAACATTTGACAAACAGTCCCTTAATAACAATTTATGGTCCCTTGTGTCCATAAAGTATATATCACTACTCTGACATAACATAACTTTTTAAAGCTGTTTTGATTTTATATATGTTACGTTAATAAAATAATGATAGTGTCATAGAGTATCATTACATGTTATAAGTTTGAATTTTTTTTGGGCTTATTAGTAACCATAAAAAAAAAAAAAAACTTATTTGAATGCTAAAAAACCACTTGTCCACTTGTTTATCTTATTTTGAAGTAAGTTGTAATAATAAGTATTTTGTCGGTTGGGATATGTTAAGACTTTGCTACATTCACTGCAACCCAGGCTGAGAGTGGGGTTAGGTGGTCAGAATGACAGATGGCTGAAAATAATTATTCTAATAATAATTTTATTTCGTAAATGCAAACCAATAATTTCATCCGACATACATCCATGTTTATACCATCTTATTTAACAAAAGACTTAAAATACTAAATAACTAAAATATTTTTTATACTTATTTTTTTACTTTTTCACTTCTTCTTCCCTTCACATACACTTATCTTTTCATAGTCGATTTTTTTAAATTATAATTTTAAATTTATATTTTATATCCCTATAATTAATTAATTAATTTAATTTACGTTAGTTACTTTTAAATGTTTCATTTTAAACTTTTATCAAATTAACATACATAATCGTATATCAATGAAAACATGTTTAAAAAATACATTTTTATTTTAACAAGTTACACCATTATAATCATCTCATTAATACATTCGAAATGAGTCCAATATTGAATAGTTTTTGACTTAATTATATTATTATATATTATATATAATGTAAAAAAATATTTTTAATATTTACGATTTATACTTTTATAGTTATTTATTTATATATATACTATATATTTTGGGGTTAGGCTGTTCAAATTGCACTGTATAATATGTTTTGAATTAATATGTTCTTAGATTTTTAAAAAAAAATATATATATATATATATATATTATATATATATATATTATATATATATATATATATACATGTATTAATTCAACCTTAATCTGAGTTTCTGGACAAGAAAGAGAGTAAGCAGTTGGATTTTAAATATATTAGATTTTAAACCGTCATACAATTGTTTTCATCGATAGTCTGTAATTGGAACCATAACTTTTATTTATTCAAATTGTATTAATATGTAAAGACCAAGTGTAACTTATATCATCGTTAAATCTTATCTTATAAAATCAGTGGAACTTCAAAATCGTTAAAATTCATGGCTCCCGCCGTATTGCGTGGGTACACAACTAGTTTCAATCAATATATAAATTTATATTACTTTTTTGTTCAATTTTTATCATATCAATGTTTATTTAGATGTTTACCTAATAAACAGTCATTCTATGTATTTTATTGGGCAACATTCTATTGCATCAAAATGAATTGTATTCAATAATTTATCAGGTAACCGAGTAAGATTCTTGATCATTGTCGTCGTAAGATTTTCGTCCTTCCCACTTTCACCCGACAAGTGACTCGATAAACGTTTATTGACAAGTGTTTAGTAAATGACCCCTAAAGATAAAAAATAATTGAATGTGAAAGGTATTAATCAGGTTAACTATGGATACCCTCACATATAATTATGAGTATATTCAAATATGAAAATACATTAGAATAGTTGGTTAAATATAGTTTGCTAAGTTAAAACTATGGTTATATAACTTAAATAAATATCGATATAAGTGTTAAATTAAATATATAAAAATGTTAGTTATTTTATATAATTTGTTATTCAAGTTTTATTTTATGTGCATGTGTGTATATATATGTATGTATGTATATATAGTGACATCTTTAAACGCAATTTGTTTAAATTGTGTTTACGGTTGTTCATTTGTGTTCAAATTGTGTTCACGGTTGTTCATTTGTGTTCAAATTGTGTTCACGGTTCATTTGTGTTCAAGTTGATCAATACCGAAAATCGTTACTACCGTGTTTCTTATGTGATTTAGGAATTCATACAAGAATGAACATGGAAGATCAATACTAAAAAAAATTAATAATATGAATGCATATTTTTTGGGATTTGATTGTTTGTAACTCCCCATTAATTGTTTGGGGGTTACAAATGAATTCAATTTACTAGAATACTCTTGTAAGGGTAAAATGAACAAGACATAAACCTATAAGAATAATGAAATTTGATTGGTTGAGAGAGTTTTTATAGTTTAAAACAAAAATGATGGTTAACATTTGATCTTCTCTCTCTCTCTCTCTCTCTCTTTATATATATATATATAGAGAGAGAGAGAGAGAGATTCCTTCTTTTACAAATCCTCTAATTGTTACAAAACATACAAACAAATCTCAACCATTCATCCAGGCAAATGAATATATGGTTCCATAAATATCTCGATTGTTTTCTAATTTATAGCTTTGATTGTAATTAATGAACTCTGATCATCTTCCAAAAGCATCCCGGTTATTAACTCAACAATCATCATTTTTCATAAATATTTTAATTGTTTAGTTTGTATGGTTGGTAATAATTAGAGGCTTTGCAAATGATTTGGACTCTATATCAGGGACGGACCCGGGTGGTGCATGTGGTGTCATGGGCCACCGCTTCGTTTCTCCGTCATAGTATAAAAAATTATAAGGTCGTAAAAAATGTGTATATATATATATATATATATATATATTTTTTTTTTTTTTTTTTTTGAAACTAGAATAAGAACACAAGTTTCCCTTGGTAGAGTTGTTTGCAAGACTTTTCTTCTATCATAGACACGAGTTCAAATTCCGCTAGTATCATTTTCTTAGTTTTTAGTTTTCAATTTCAGATTTATTATGTTATTGAATTTTTTTTGCAATAAAAGACTTGAGCACAAACCTTACATAAGAAAAACAATGAATTAACCAGCAGACTAATGATAATTTTGTGGAAAAATATTTTTAAATTTGTTTCTTATAATCAAATGTTGTTACCACTTGAAAAAAAATTTAGGTCCGTCTATGCGCTCTCTCTCTCTCTCTCTCTGTATATATATATAATAGTTGGATTCAAGCGAGAAGACGGCCAACTTTTGAAAAAACGAAAAGAAAAGTTACATGATCATACATGATTACATGTGGTTTGAACATGTAATCATATATGTTAGTTCAAAAGGGACACGAACAACTTGGTGGACGTGACTAAAAGTTAGAGGGAAGACCGTCCTCTATATGCCGATCAATACAACATATACTTAAATATATATGACTACGTGTTCGTATCATATATCTTCATCCTCTCTCATGAACCTAAAGAGTATATACTAATTTTTGTTTTAAAGTTATTTTCTCTCTAATTCACTTACACAACTTTCCATTACCACCCAATATTACTTTTTTTTAATATTCATTAATGACTACCAACATAAAATATATATTTTAGGGAAATTAACCATTTAATATTTTATTTTATATATAATTAACTTTTTTACTAACAACGTT